AAAAAAAAAAAAAAAAAAACACATCATAGTAAAATTAATACCTTCTCAGCTTCGCATCGAAGCTAAAAGTCAGACCAGTCAGAGGTAACAGAGTACACTTTATTACCCATGTACATCTATAGTTGATAGTAATTAATAGTACATTAAAACAATCTTCAGAGAGTGTTAACAATTATAAAATTTAATTATATGTGAGATAATAATTTTAAAAAAATACTTTTTTCAATATTGTTATAAAGAAATATACACTTTTTAAAATAATGAAATAGCTCATTTATTTTAAATAATGCCTTTTTTAACATACCTTCAATAAACAACAATGGTTTAAAAATAATAAAATAAATAGAAAATAATAGCAAGGAGTTAATAATTAACTATTAATAAATTATTAATTATTAACAAATAATCAGTTATTTACAGATAATTTAACATTACAATTCAAATAGTAAATATTTAAGCATTGTATTAAATTATCGAAATGGGTAATGAAAATTATTTTACATTGACATCAACTGGTTGGTTATCAATGAGTCAAATCTAGTTTACTTTAATAAATATTAAAATTATATATTTTACAACATTAATTGTATGTAAAAATAAAAAAAGCTATTCTATACAATAATAAAAATAAAATCATAAATTTAGATTATTCACAACTAACAATAATATTCTAAATTATTATAGATACAAAATTTCGCTAACATTTTCTTTATTGTTTTTTACTATTTCTTGGAAGCACTAGAATTTTTTTTCAACCTAATATAAGTAAGACATTTATTTTAGTTTTTTAATGATAAAGGAATAATTTATTATAAGATTACTTGTTTGCTAATCGTGATTTAAGAGTTGAGGTAAATTTAATAGCAACTTTTTTATCAATTTCTTTACAATTTAAAATTGTCATAGCAATTTCTTTACCACTCATTTTAGAAGTTTCTCTTTTCTTTTTCTAAAACAAATGATTAAAAATCATCAAACAAAGTTCATATATTTCTTTTTTAATATTTAGTAGTTTGTATATTTTATGTAACTTACAAATGTAACAAATCACAAACATAATATTTGTAAATCATCAAAACCTATTTAAAGTTAATCTAGTCTAATTAAATTTAATATATGTATTTGTTACCCAATAATATTATAATATTATAATATAATAATAATATAAGAATAGATAAATAGAATAAAACAAATATACAAGGTATAGAGGGTGGAACGGATCTCTTATAACTTTTGATACAATTAAAATATTTTATGATATATTTTTAAAAACAATTTTTGCATTTTTACACTTCATTAAAATCAAAGTTTAATTATTTATTTTTTAGAGTATTTTTTGCAAAAAAAATTTTGATGGGTCATTAGCAACTCTTGGATAAGTACTTATTGAACTTTTTAATAAATTGAGTGGGTAAGTAGCTACAGTTTATACTGGCGTATATATACTCGTAAGTTGCAGTAATACATTAGGAAGATAGTCTTTTAATATACCACCATCTTAATATATATATTTTAACAGCAATGATTAGTAAACTGTTTTATTAAAACAAAAACTCATGTTAATTTTTCCAAAATTTAATGTATAAAGATTAAACATTAAAATATTTTGTAGAATAAGATATTTATTATAGTTTAGAAATATATCAAAACAATTCTTTAATATTGTATTAATATTAAAAATATATAGTTAAATAAAATTCATTGTTGTAATTTCCTGATAGTTTAAGAAATCTTTTAAAACTATTTAGTTATTTCAAAAACGTAAAAAAGTTATTTAAATCTTAATGATTCTGCATAATTAAATTAGTGGTCAAGTATTAATATTCAATTCTATTTGTTTAAATGTATAGATATTTCCAGTCTATCCTAATGGAAGCATTAACCAATTTGAAATGATATTACTTATTTAATAAAATAATAAAAATAATTTATGGTTAATTATAAATTGTATATAACTAATAAAGCAATTTGACAAAGTTTATGTTTGTTAAGGAAATTTAATCACTCAATTGTAAAAATGATTATACCTTAGCTGACTTTTTAGAAAAACTAGGAACTGGTGTATCAGAATCTTCAGAGTCTAACAATTTATCTTCTTTAATTATTTTCATATTTAAATGACCACCTAAACAAAAAATAATAATTTCATAATACAAAATAACAGTGATAATTTATATAATAATTATTTGTTTTTAACATGTGCTACTTGGAGTTATCAATATTGCTCTACTAATCAATTGCTATTCCAAAAGATTGAATCTTTCAAATGGTACCTTTTCTGCTATAGATCTTACTCTTTCCATTGTCTCACTTACACAACAAACAAAATTTCCATTTACAAATCACTTGCCTTCTCAAAGCTGAAATATGGGCTATTTGTTTTTTTGTAGTGATGAAATACTACTACTCATTACTTATTTTGTATTAAGTTTTATATATTATTACTACTTATACTTTTTTTATCTCATTACCTATTTTGTCCTTATATTTGTCATTAAGAAACATTATATTTTTCTTATATTATTACATATTATTCACTTATTGTACGTTTAAGAATTATTATTTCTTTATATATCTTTTTATGCAGCTGTATTAAATTTTTATATAACCTTGGATAAATTATCTTTATTTTATAAATGCATTGATGCATTGTTGTAAAATTGCACTATTTTGTAGTTTTAATAAAAATTAAGCGAAAGTTTTAATAATATTATTTTATTTGACATTGGGATTTTGATTCTAAAACCAACATGAACTGCATAAAAGTACTTTGTAAACTTAAAATATAAATACCATGCAAAACTAATGCACTTTGGTTTGGGATCTTAATACAATACAATATACTTGTAAATACTGTGTTACAACCACTGTTACTTTTTCTTTGATTTGATTATATTCTATTATAATATAATAAATTTTAGAATAATTATCACTATAAAAATAAAATATTTAATGCACTGTAATAGTATAATATGATTATTTTGTTTTTTCTTAATGATTACTCAATTATTATATTTTATATAATAATTGAAAAGCTTTGCTTGAATCTAGATAACTCATTATTACAATTTTGGACTATTACAGTTCTTAATAAAGGTAAAAATGACGAATATATCTATAAGATTATAGTTAACTATAAAAAAATGAAATGTTTTTAAAATGTTTTGCTTTCTCCATCATTTTAAAGAGTTATGAAAAATAAAATTTTTTTGTTTGAACATATATCTAACATTGTTTAATAACCCTACTACATCTTAATTTAATAAAATATAACACATACTTTTTTCATTTTTAATTTCAGCAACAACACTTCTTCTTTTTTTCCCTTTAATTTTTCTGATTTTTTCATCTTTGTCATGTAGCCTGAAAAATAATTGATACTGAAATTTTTCAACCTAAAATTCTTTATAGAAATTCATAAATTAAAGTAAGAATTATGATCACTTTTTTATTAATTTTCTAGCTAATTGATTGGCAAATTCTGTGCGTTCACCAGTACGACGATTAGCCAAACGTTCTTGAATCAAATTTGTTAATTCATCATTTGTTACAATTTGAGAAGTCATTATCTAAAGTTAGCAATTATTATGATTTAATTAGGTTGTTTTTTAATGAATATTGGTAAAAATTATACTCTTACTTTCTTCTTAGATGGTCTTATATAAACACCGTCATCTGATTCATCCTCTATTTTTAAATCAGATGCAGCTGCAGTTTTACTTTTAAAATCCATTAGAAAAAAATGTTATTAATACTTTTATTGCTTTCACAAAATTTAATTACGTAAATTTTGAATAAGATTTAGTTTATAAAATTTATCATGTTATGGTCTCATAAAATAAACAACCCATCAGTTATCAATATCAATTATTAATTTTTATCAACACCGAGTGTTGAACAAGAAATTTGTGGAACAAAAGGTTGTGATACAGATTACATGAAACATACCTTTACATAGTCTGTGGTAGTGTTCCAATGAAAAATATATCGGGGTCCATTAACATGGTTATAATATTCTAGTGGTTAAACTATACAACTTGACTACGTTTTTTTACAAGATTTTAAAGAGGACAGCATAAATTGCTATCAGATTTTAACTATTTTGATTACATTTCTCCAATTCACAATTAAGAGTGGTGATTATTTAATTGTTATGAATAGGTGTATATACAAATAGGCATACGTCAGAAAAAATCATTAGGGAAGTCATCTTAGGTCTTACTCGCCAAAATTCAAGTCTTTAATTTTATTTAAAGTTTCTCTTATGAAATAAATAGTTCCGATTTTTAATCGTGCTAAAATGTTATAATTTTTTCATATTTCATATGTTTGTTATAGTACTTAATAATAATTTAATATCTGTATTACTAGGAATAAAATCATTTTTATAGGATTATTTTATTTTCTCAAATATGGATTTATCTGAAAATGATATAGTTGAAGATGATGTGGAAAGAAAATATAGAACAGTTTGGGTTGGCAATTTACATCCTAAAGTTACTGAAGATATTGTGGCTGAACTTTTTTTTCAGGTATTATAATTGATTTAAAATTTCTTTATATCCATTAATTAAATAAACGTCTTTTTATTCAAAGATGGGTCCCATTGAGTGTGTTCAATTTGGCTATGATGATTATAACAGATATGAAAATTTTGCATGGGTAACTTTCAAGTATGAAAATTCAGTATACGATTGTATGAAAATTTTTCAAGGTACAAAACTTTATGGTTTAACAATCAAAATGAAAAATTATTTAGATAACCCTGAAGAACAAAGATTTGATGAAGAACTAGATAATTTTAAAGAATTGATAAGAGTTGAATGTGGAAATTATAATAGTAATAAACAAAATATCTACAATTATGAAAGGAACATACCAGATAGTTTACCACAACCACCTATGCATTCATCAAATTATAATTTTGATTCAAATATCAAACATAAATTTGAACCTTATTCAGAATCTAATTCTGTTCATCATGCATCAAACAGTGGAAAACATAATCAAACTAGTCAACAGCATTCCAATAGAAAACAATTTCTGAAATTAGAAAGGTTTCCAAATTCTTTTGAAACTTCTAAAAATGATTGGGTGCATTGTAATAGAGAATATTCAAATAAGTTTTCAGAGAATTACCAAAGTATGTCATCAAACAAAAATAAAAATAGATTCTACAATCAAGAACATTTTTCTGATAATCATAATTTAAATAAACATATTGTACCAGTGCGTGATTTAAGAGATACCATGTATCATAAACGTAGTCCGACAAGTAATGATATCCAAAATGATTCTAATGCAGCTTGCACTTCTTCATTAGATCTTAGAGACATTATAAATCCAAGTAGCAGTAGTTCTAATAAAGATCGAAGATATGATAATCCAAATTCTTATGGTAACTGGCATGATAGACACAGAAATAATACAGAACAGAATTATAGTACATATTTAGAAAGAAAATTGCAAAATAAACATTTTGAATCTAACCGTTTTAATAAACATGACATCAATTATCAAAATTATACAAATAGTCAAGAACATCATGATCGACAATTTACTGATGATCAACCTTTCAATAATTTTAATGACCGTCATCTATACCCAAATAATTACCATAATAATGATTACAATCAAAAAGATAGTAGGCCAAATAGTTATGGATACAATAGTCAAAGATCTTCTCGAAATTCTGGTAATCGCCAGCAAAGTCATCATCCTTACAAAAGAAATGGTGATCAAGAAAGGAAAGGGAGAGTAATAAATAATGATCAATATAGTTATTCCCACAATTCTAATACTGGTGGATATAATAAGCCAAGGGGTAGTTATTAATCTCAATAATTTATAGTTGCTTTTAATGTAAATGTTATCAACATTATGAACAACTTAAAATTTTCTCAATAAAAAGATTTAACTTAAAATTTTATTTAACTATAATTTTTTGCTTTATTTAATTTTTTAATTTAACTAAGAAAAAAAAATAAAAATAATTGTTCATTGTTTATATGAAAAAATGGAATTTTCTAATGACATTGTTATTAAGGTTTATATATTTTCATAAAATTTTACTGGAGTGATATTATTTTGGGCAAAAAATTTATTTACTTAAAAAAAATATTTTGTACAAATTTTGACATTTTTTAGATATACATATAACTTTAAGCTTTGAATTACTCAAAGACTGTTAGGTATAATGACACTTTAGGCTACTTGTTATAAGCCATTTACCTAGATTGCCTTGGTCTTTTACTAAATTTGGAAATTTATAAAATATTTTTTATTAATTAATAAGAAAAAAATCAATGATAAATAATTAAAATTGTGTCACATATTAAAATATACATTGTATTTTACCAAATATTTTAAAATTTTCATCTTGAAGATAATAACAATAGATTTTACTATGCATGATCATTCATTATTTAATTTTGGTATTGGCTCAATTGTTTCAAAAAATATTATAAAAAATAATAATTCCAATATAAAACAAGGAAAAATAAAATTTCTAATTTTATTTTCTTATAGCTTAAATATTAGTAATGTTATTTAAAAAAATGTATAATTTAATATAATAATATAATGATAATCCAATAAAAAATATATATTTACATACATTTCATTGTTAATTTATTACATATTACATTATAATGAAGTTACAATTCAACACTTTATTAATAAAGCTACATTACTTCTATTAATATGACTAGAACACAAGACTAGTAAACTCGTAAAAAAAAATATATATATATACAGTCTTTCTTTCAATATTTAATAGATTTCTCTTAAAATAATAGTTGTATAAATAAAATCCTTTTTGGAATAATACCTTATACCTTATTGGTCTAATATTTTTGAAGATATTTTGTGAGATGAAATTAAGGAATCATCCAGTATGATTTTTGAATATTAATTGTTCGTATTAAGATTGTTAAAAATCAAATAAAATCGACTTTAACATTCTAAGATTACATAGGTTATATATAAAAAAAAATTACAATAAAATGTTAATTGTATCAAAAGTTTTACAAATTGTTAATTATATCTATTTCAACCTGTATATACACGTGGGAAAAAAATAGATATTATAAAAAAATGTTGAATTATAATATCGTAGGCCATAAAAATTTATCACATAATAAGCATCTAGTATTAATTACCTACTTATATAAGAGAATTATAAATACTATATATATGATTGCCAAATTAAAATCTGAATTAACCATTTATTGGAGAAATTACAAGTACCATAAGATCAATTTTTTAGATTTAAAAGATGTTTTATTAATAATACATCCTTGTAAAAAATGTATACTCTTAATAGTCCCCTTATTCTTATTTAAGCATAAATGTTATTTACAAATATCTAAAAGAAAAGGATAATTGTGTAATGCAATTAAATTTCTTTATTTTATTTATAGGCAATTAGTTTATCATAAACCACTTTATTACTCTCAAAATAAATCTGTAACTTGGATAAAAAATGGCATATCTACAAAAATGGAAGAAAAAAATGTATTTTTTCAAGTAACTACTATAGAATTCTCAACTATATTAAGGATAACAACTTAATTTTTTAAATGTAAACATACATAATTAATTAAATTATAAAATTGAAAATAATCTAATTAAAAAAATGACTGGTTTGTAACACTTTTGGAACGAGAATTTCTGAAATTATAAATTTTTAAATTTACAGTAGAGTAGAATATGGCAAAGTAATGCAAAATAACAACCTGTAACATATATCCACTATATTTACAATTTTTAATAACTTCTGAAGTACTGTATCAAAAGTTGTTTGTTGTTTTCATAATTTTTTTAACTAAATAAAATAGTTAAATATTACTATTAAAAAAAATTAATTTAGTTTATAATTAATAAATTGTTATTATTGGAAACTAAAAATTACCAAAAATAATTTTATCTACATTATTATTTTAAGAGAAATCTTATGGCTAATATTAAATTATATCCCTGTACATGTAACAAAAAAATCAAATTTTTTTCAATATATTATTTATTTTATCAGTAATTTATTTATCATAAACCACTTGATTACTCTCAAAATAAATACAATATTGAAAAAAAAAATTTGGTTTTATAGTTACATTTATTATTGATTTATTGGCTAATAACTACTTTTTACTCATCCAATTCCTTTTGAATAGTATTTTTTTATTAGTGTCAACTTACTTCTTTTAATAGTAATATACGAAATTTAATTAGCCTAAAAAATTGAAAATTATATAATTAAGAAAACGACTGATCGATAACAACTTTTGGACCAGTACTTTAGATATTATTCTCATTTTTATACTTAAGTGGGACGAAGTGTATGACTGCCAAATAACTAGCGATGAAAATAACAGTACCCATTCCTCACATTCATTCATTACTGTAAATTTTTAGTAATTTCTGAAATACTGGTCCAATAGTTGTTATCAACCAGTCATTTTCTTAATTAAATTATTTCCTATTTTAAAGCTAGCTAAATATATGTTGCCATTAAAAAAATTAAACTGATATCCCTTTAAGTTATAAAAGATTAATCTTAAAAGTAATTTCTTGGTGATAAATAAAACATTATATGTAACTAAAAGAAATCAAAAATTGTTTTTCTAATATTACATTTATTTTGTAAGTAATCGAAAAATATAAATATAAAATAGTGGTTTATGATAAACTGATCACCTTGTATAAAAGAGTCAATTTTTGTCAGTCTATTATATATACAGAGCCAGTCTTATAAGAAGCGAGTTACTTCACAACCCAAACAATTTTTATATAAAATCGGTAAATATATTGCTTTTTTATATTCTATTTAAGTGAAAAGCCAAAAAAAGGTTTTTTTACATACAAATTTTTAGTCCCATAATATTTGTAAGATAGCAATTGCCCTAAATAAAAATACTTAATCATGGGTCAGTATGTCTATGAATGTGAGGTGATAGCATCATGAGGTTTGCCCATTTGTGTAAGTACTTTATCTAGCCATTGAAGTGGTCCATGTAAATGTAACTCAATCCAACAAGGAGTACTAGTGACATCTTGTCTATGATAATCGGCACCCCAACCTTTTACAAATGACATACGTATTGTGCACATTTTAGTTAATTCAAAAACAGCTTCAAAACCATGATTAACTGATTGTGAAAGCAAGCCTGCAAATTCTTGGTTATTAAAAATACGTAATGAGCAACCCGGTGGTATTTTGCACACAGTTGATGGATGAAATCCATGATGCTGATTACAGTTACGTGATTGCACAAATATAGCCGAGTCTGACAAACATTCAGCAAAAACTTCTCCACCGACATAATATAGTTGAACACCTAACAAAATATATTTTTATTCGGAATAAGTAATGGATCAACAAAAACTTATTAAAATACTATACCTTTTCCAATATGACGTCTAGTATTCTCAATTGTAGAATTTCTATTTACATTTGATAACTGACCAAGACAAAAACGATTTAAATCATTTCTAGGATTTGTAAAACCATCAACGACTATATGAGGTGAATGACATTGATAAACTTCACCAACCCTTGAATTAAGTTCATAATATGCTATACTTGCCCAACATGGTTGTTCCTAAAGCAGTTATAAATTATAACTAATTATTAAAACCAGGTTATAACTTATTCACAAATTATTATTTTGTATGTTATGTTATTTAAAATTAGTCGGGACTAAGTTAAATGAAATTTGTTAAAAATTTAAAGTAACGTTTTAATTGAAAATAGAAATTGTTAAAATAGAACAAGATAAGTTAATTTTTTTATTGAGAAATTATAAATAGTGATTATTATTCCAAAACCATTATAATTTTAAACAATCACTGCTAAAGATCAATTTAGTTTTTGAGTTTTTTTTCCAAGCAATATCAATTGGAATATTCAATTTACTTTAATGACACAAAACTTTTTATTTCATGTGTAATTCCTATATACAATTTTTATTTACCTGATATATAATTGGAATTCCATCAATATCTTCAACATGAGTTTTTTCAACAATATTATTTTTATTGAGATCATCTGGTAAAGGAAAAGTTTCATTATCTAAACATTTAAAAAAAATGTTTATTTATTTTAGTCGAAACTAGTAATTACAATAGTTATTACCAATACTCTAAGATTTTTGTTTATTTTTATAGTAATAATTTAGAATTTTAAAATAAATTAATTCATTTTCAAACTTTTACTTGCCTGAATTAATTTTTAAACCAGTAATAATTTACGTATTAACTATCAAATTTATTTTTATACTACTGAAGATGGAATATTAACTCATTGTTGTAAATTATGTAGTTGGTGTAATTTCAACATTTAGAAACTTAAAGACTTAAAGAAATATTTTAGCAATACCATGCAAAATTACCAATTACTGATGAATCAGAGAATGGATTCAATGTGTTTCCAGAGGAAATTTGATTAGGAACATTAATGGTATCAGCATTTTGAATAAGCACACTTTCTGGAAAGCCATCTGTACTTATAGAAACATTTATTGGCATACCAATATCTACTGGTGGTTGGTATTGCTGAATTGGTGATTGTGAAGGTGGTGCATATTCACTATGACGAGGAACTAATACTGGTGGTAAAACTAATGCAAATTAAAAAAATTATTCGATTTTGGAACAACAAATTTTAATTCACTAAAACATACCTGGACTCTCAACTCTTTGATAGTGGTATGGATTAATGCAAACATCTTTCTGTTTAGCAGAAAATGGAAATTGACAATGGTCAACAGCCTTGAGTTCATGATGCGATTGAAGATCTGGCCAACGCCATACTCGGCAATATATAACATGTGGAAGACCTTTTCTATGAGATACCTAAATGAAAAAAATAAAACTTGTAAATATTGATAAAAATATTAAAATAAATTTTAAAACTATTTATACTTGTAATCGACCATCAAGACTTCTTGGAATGGTAACACATTTACTAGGCTGACCAGGTGAGCTAAGAGCTTTCTGTAAGTCCTCTGTAGCTCCTTTAGTTTTCTTCAATTTTTTCATGAGTGCATCAACTGCTTTCTCTGCCCATTTTTCTTCTTCGTCACCTTGTTTCCAACCAAGAAGCTTTTTTACAGATGGGCTAGTAAATGAAAATAAACTATTTAAAGTGCCACTTGTAGAATCCATTTCTTCACCCATAATTTTCTAAAAACCAAGTCAGTAAAACTAAGTTTTTTTTTTATTTTATATCAATATTATTTTTAAAAAATCAAAATATTTTTAAATATATCATTTATAATTAATCAGTTATAAATATAGAAGAGTATAAAAGAAAAACATTTTTTTTATTTTTAAGAAATTTCATACCTAATTCATAATTTTATTTTATTTTCTTCATTTATTAGTTTATACATAAATACCTATATGTAATTCTGTAATACACAATTATTGGTAAAAAGATTAAACCACTGTTAAGTATATTTATGTTATAAATTAAAGACCCATCTAAGAAATTTTAAACGCGATATTGACATTCATTTAAAAATTTATAAAAACAATAGAAATTATTTTTAAGCAATTCTCAACGATAATTTAGAACTAAATCATAATTGTGAAATTCTATACGTTTTATTCTAATATAAATATTAATTCATAAATATTTTTTTATTTAGAAAAATAAATAATAAACTAACAATTTGTAAAACTAAAACCCTCAATACTTTTATTATATATTATAAATTAAGTATTGATTTTTATATTACGCGCCATGCGCAATCTTCATATGATTAGATAATAGATTATATCTCCCTAGCACTCGTCACAACAATCAAAATCATAAGTTAAACAATTATTCAAAAATTACATTGATTTTCAAAAAAATTATTATGTTATAAACTAATTTTCCTAATAATAATCTATTAAGATTTAAATGTTTACTATCAAAAATACAAGGTGACTGTAAATATTTTTATATTAAAAAACATTATTTTTGTATAGCCCATAAATTAATATTTAAAATTTGTTGAATAATTAATAAGTAAAAAATTAATTTATAACATATTATGGTAAATTTATGTAAATGTTTGAATTCCAAAGTATATAAATCGAACTTAATTGATTATAAATACTTAAAATTATTTAATAATATTCCATAACCACTCATTTATCATTGTTTTATTTTTAATTTTTGTCCCATTATTTTTATTATGTTTTTCTATATAAAATGTAAAAACAAAATTTAAGTTACAAATTATGTTAAAATTATAATTTCACCATGTTTAAAATTAGACTAAAATAAATTAACATGGATATTGTTCTAATGGGAACGAACCGAGGTCGTTCAAATGGTCATGCTGATGAGATTTCATTCCAAAGTTTTATTGATATGGAAACTCTAAGTGACCGCTTAACATTATTAAATTATGAAGAATATGTTATCAATATATTGAAAATGAGACTAATTAATAGGTCAGTAACATATTATAATTTTTTTAATAATGACATTAAAAAAGGTGTAAATATAAGAGAAGAACAATTTTCTCCCTACAAATTAGAATTATTTTCTAAATTATAAACTCTTTGAAAAATAGCTCTTACTTTAACAGAAATAGTTAATTATTTCTGGGTCCATGCCTGATATGTCCCCTTACTAGTTTAGTTGAAAATGTATCTTATTTTGGTGTATAGGTACTGAGTTTTTATTTTATTGCACTAAATTTAAAAGATTTTCCTATTTTCTGTCATAAGCAATAACTAATGAGAGAGTATTTTAAACATAAAAATTACAAAATAATGTTTTTAAATGTCTGTTCTTATTCATTTTTAGACATTATTTTGCTCTGCAAACTAATTCAGGAGAACAATTTTTTATGTTCACTTCTCTTGCCGTTTGGTTATTGAATAAACTAGGAAGTGATTTAAAGCAACCTCATGAGTTTGATGACCCAAACATTACAATCAACAATATTTTAGAACACTGTTCCAATTTAGTAGGTTTTATTAATTATTAATATTAAAAATAATAATAAATTTTTAAGCTTTAATATCTATTTTTGGATTAATGAAGGATTTGTTCACTGATATTCCAATTAATCAGTTAAAACAAGGTTTTGGTAAACATATCATAACAGTTTTGAATGGACTTGCTGAATTAGTTATTAGGAAGAACAAATTTATATTCAATAAGTATGTTCACACAATGTTGCAAACTTAATGTATTTAAAATATAGTAATAAATAAAATAAATGTAACCCAATCCAAACAAATAATTACTATATCATGTAACCATATAGACCAAATTTTCCTTCTGAAAAAGATGTAAAAGAAGAAATTGATGAAAATAATGCAGAATTATTATTAGATCATGTTGAAGAAGAGATGATTTGGGTTGATTCAAGCTCAGATGAAGAAAATATAATAAATCTAAATGAACTCTCTAATTTAAACAAAGTATATGTATTTTTATCAACTAAACAAAAGATTTCTCATTAAAATTTTAACATAAATTTAAATAAATGTACTATCATCATTTTAGATAAAAAGAACAAGAAATAAAATGAATAGTAATTTAAAAGTTCCTACAACTAATAAAGAAGAGTGGAATATGGAAGTTGAACAAGTTTTACCTTTATTAAGATTAACAATTAAATTAGGTTAATAATGAAATTAATATTTTATTGTTAAAAATTTTGTTTCTATGTTATGAATTTTTTTAGATTCAAAAGATTGGAGAGCTAATTTGCATAAAATGAATGAATATAAGCTTATAATGGACAAAACTTTAAAAGTTATAAAGCCACTTTTAAATAATCTTCATGATAAATTGGAGGAAACTATAGAAAAAGTTTATAGTCGTGAAAAATATTTAAACAGCACTTTAGATAGTTTATTAATTGACTATCGTAATTCTCAAGTATATAATAATTTTATTTGTGTGTTAGCAATTTGTAAAATTATTTATTAGTGTAAATAAATATTTTTAGGTTGAACTTGCACTAGTAAGTGAACAATATGAATCTTCAAATAATGGTATAATGGAAAGACAAGAATTATTGACTAAAATTACAGAACAATTGGATGTTGTTAAACAAGAAATGGATGAAAGGGGTTTAAGTATGACTGATGGCAGTAAGTTAATTTTGTTTTTGTCAATTTTACTATTTTTTTGTTTGTATTCTATTTATTTATTATTTAGCACCGTTAATTAATATAAAGAAAGCTATTTCTGAAATTAAAACAGACATTATGAAAATGGATGTACGAATAGGCATTTTACAACATGGTTACTTAGTATCTAAGATGCATAATAAAACAGTTATTCAAAATATTACAGTCAGAATGAAACCATTGTTTACTAGTAATAAGTAATAAATATTTAATGAACTATTATCTTTTTTTTATCTATATTGTATTTTTATTTAAATAAACATAACTTTTATTGCTTATGGCATATTAACAGTATTTTAGTCACATGTGTCAATTTTTGAGTAGGAATAGGGTACATAACACTAAACTTAATTAAACAAGTATTATTTAGCACTAGCCAGTTTGATGAGCTTTTAAAGTTATTAATCATTTATTTAAAAAAAATATATTCAAAATTTTCAGTTGAAATACAAAATTTATGATTTACTATATTCAAATTACAACAACAAAAAATTAAAAAAAAAAGAAAGTAGTTAGCCAAAGATAAAAAACGTGTAAGTTCAATTAATTTGTAGGAGGATGTCATAAACTGAATACAGCGTTTGCTGCCAGAGGTCTATTGTTGGTTGTAAACCAGTAGATAGGCTAGGGCTAGAAAGCAGGGATATCTTAATTAGACTGGGACTTTCTATGAAAATAGGCGGTTGATAAGAGAGAGAAGGTATCTGTGTATTAAGCATGCTACAAGATATAAGGTACCGTGTCAAGAACAGGAGACATTTATATTGTTATTATTATTTAAATTGAGACATTTTTTAACATCAATACAAAGCTGAGAAGGTATTAATTTTACTATGTGTTAACCACTTTTTTCCAGCTCTCCTGGATTGATTTTACTGAACAATACATCAAAAGATCTATCATTGTATATCTAGTTGAAGACAATATGAACTGTCATAACTTATTGAAAAAAAAATTAATTAAAACAAATTTTTTCTTTTTATTGAGTATATATTTTTGTAAATCTGACCCTTTATCTCACCACGAGGGAATTCAAAATAGTAACTTTTGAATAAAAAGTTAATCATTTCAACTTAATTTTTAAAAATGTTCTAAAATATTACCTCCTTTAAAAATATAATTATATTTTATATATTAAATTAAAGCTTATGTTACATACATACCAGGTTAAAAAAAAATTTGTCTCAACACCTTATCTTCTATGTACAAATGACTACCTAATTTAAAAAATATGTACTATTTTTGTGTTCAAATTCTAGATTTCATATTGGTATAGTTTTTTCAAAAACTTATAGATCAATATATTTTTTTATTTATAAAAAATTTATTTTATTCACTTTTTACATGTCCCTTTCATTCGGACATATTTTTTTTTTAAATCTGATCATTTACTGTGAGAAGATTTAAAAATTAATACATCTGTATAAGAAGCAGAACTGTTTCAACTTTTGAAAATTTACAGAAATACTGCGTCCTTTAGTTATACAGGGTGATCCATTAAACATTGACCAGCAAATATCTCAAAAACTATTTATTATTTTAATAATTTTAGCTTCGATGCAAAGCTGAGAAGGTGGTATTGGTTTTACTAAGATGTGTTTTTTTTTTTTTTTTTTTTTTT